AGGAATGGGCTCATTGAGTCTCCCTGGAATATGCCTCTCTGGACTTTAATGTTGACACCGTCCAGTGAGGGGATTGTTAAGTTCCATTGGCCCATTCCGTTCTTGAGCATGCTCTTTGTCGCTTTGGGGATGGGTAATGCGGCAATTAGCTGACGCAGTATTTCATGCGAGATAGAATCGAACGCCTTACTAAAGTCATGCCACGCTGTGTGGTGCTCCCGTCCTCTCAAGTTGGCCCCCCTAGTGGCGGCCTTATCGATCAGAAGACCGTGTAGGGTGCCACTCACATCTCCTCGCCAGCTGTTGTTTGGGGATTAGGGTTGGTGGTATGGCGTCCCTGAGGAGTTCTAGGACCGTTTTAGTAAGCAGCTTGTAATCTACGTTAAGAAGAGCTATGGGGCGGTAGTTCGCCGGGTCGGTTGCGTCTCCTTTCTTGTGGATTAACACCAGGTTGCCCTCTACGTCTTCTTTGGTCAGCTTGTAATCCCCTTCTACTGCTCTACAAATAAATGATGTTAGATATCGTTTAGCTGACGGTAAGTATTTGTAGAGCGCTGTTGGTACCATATCTGGACCTGGCGTTTTCCATGGGGCGGTGTATTTTAAGGCAACATTGATTTTGGCTTCGACGAGGTCACGCTGGTAGGGTTGCGTTGGGGTTGATGCGTTTTTGACCTCGTTGAGCCAGTTGTCAGCCCATGGGTGTTCGGTTACCGGCGCCGGCTGATAAAGCCGTTGGAAGAACGTTTTTGTCGCTCCCGGGTCCAAATTATTAGAGGGGGGATTGGGGTGAATGGTACGCATTGACGGGCGTTCCTGAAAGTGGTGTCGATCTTTCAGGATCTGGTGCCTTTCTTTCTGTTTCTGCAACTCGTCGGAGAGCAGCTCGATTCGGTCTTCTGTCGCTTTGATGTACTGGTTGGGCCTGAACATTTTTAGCTTCCTCATTTGTTCACGCTCGGTCTTTAGGTGGTGCGGGATTCCCCCGTCTGTAGCCAGGTTTTGCAACTCTCTTGCGTTCTCGACATGCTCCTGCAGTTTTTGAATTTTTGATTCTGTTGGTTTGTAGCTGGGTTTTCGCCTACTCTTCCCTATATTTACGCAGAGCGTCAACCGGAGAAGAAAGCCGGCTGCTAGTATTGCGTGCTTGCTGGCCTTATGCCTTCTCGCGGGAGTTTTGATGTTCGCGTTAATTTTTATGAGCGCCTCGTTGAGGATGGCGTCGATGTCTTTAACATTTTGGTTATCTGCGGGGATGTGAAGGCGGAGTAGGCGGCGTGGTCTGTTTCTGGAATAAGTAAGAGTTAAACATTTGCGGAATTGCTTACGGAGGTTGGGGAATGTGGGGAACGAAATCGGTCTGTAATTGTTGGGGTCTTGGGCGTCGCCGGTTTTGTGCTTGGACGTCTTCTCGTGTCATTCGATATCGTCCTTCTATAGTGTCCTCGACATGACAGAAGAGGTAATTTTTTGCGGTTTTAAAGATTTTGTAGAGAGCAGTTGGGATTTCGTCTGGTCCGGGTGCTTTCCACGGTGCTGTGAAGCGTAGTGCATGTTCCAGGTGTTCTCGGAGGTTCGGCATGTCTACATCCGCGTTTGGTCTATCGGCATTCGTTTTTCCGTTGATTTTGTTCAGCCACTCTTCAAACCAAGGGGACTGCTGTTCTGCAGTGGGGCTATAGAGCTTTCTGTAGAAGTCCTCTGTTTTTTTCCAGTCTAGTTCGCTGGTTGGTTTGGATGGTTTTCGTATTGCTTTTATAGACGGTTGTTCGTTGAAACGGTACCGTTCGCGTAGGCGATTTTCGAGGAGTTCGACACGATATTTTGTTGTACGGATGTACTGTGCCGGTGTCATGCGTAGCTTCCTCATCGTGTGGGCTTCGTTTTTCAGTTGTTGGGTTACCGGTGCTCCTCTTCGCTGCTGTAGTTCTTTGGCGACTGCGATGTGGTTTTTCAGTTTCTTTATTTTTTCTTCCGTGTTTTTGAAGAAAGGTTTTTTCTTTATTTTCCCCATGTTGCCCACGATATTCTTTCGCAGTAGGTAACCAGCAGCCAAAATCGCGTGGCGACTTAATCTGCTTCCATAATCTTTTGCAATGTGTTGGTGTTGTGGTTTAGGATATAATTTGTTTAGTTTCTTTGGCCGGGATTTCGAGTAGGTTAGGGTCAGAGCTTTTCTGTATTAGTGTTTGAGATCGTCGACGCCGGGGTCTATGGCGGGAGGTATGGTTGGTTGCAGTGGCGTTAGGGGTTGCACGATGGGGGTGTTGGTTCCTGCAGCGTAGTGGTGTGGCGTGGTTGTGTCGAGTAGCGTGGGCTCGTCATCGGGTTTGTTGGCGCTATACGTGGTTGGCCCTAGTGGTAGGGGGGTTTCAGCAGCCCCTTGGGCCGCTTCATCGTGGCATGCTGAGGCCGGGGGTGATCTGTCTGGGCCTGTAGGTGGTGACAGAGGTTTTGTGGTTTCAGCGACTGGTTTCGCGCGTTTGGTGGACGCGTACTCACGTTCTAGTCTGCATATTTCATCAGGGCACAAATCTATTTGCGGGTGCTGTTGTGTCTGCGTTTCTTGCTGCTTTCCTCTCTAAGTACTTCTTTTTGATGGCTGCTCGCGATCGATTTGGTAACTGTTGTTGCATTGCATCAAGAGATCTGTCATCGAGCGGTTCCTCCGTCAGTCTTTCGCCGTGGTAGTTGTTTAGGATGGTTAGTTCGTGTTGTTTCCAAGCGGCCATTATGGCGGCGGATATGGTGTTTCTTGATTTTCAACCGCACCCACGATTCTTGTGAATTATTCGGCAGTTGAGAGTTCAAATCTGTTCGAACGCAATTGTAGTACCTACACTAATTACACTCGCCCGTGTGCGACGCTGCGTCTTCACGTTTCGGAAAATCAGATAAGAACTGGTACTGGTCGTATAGTGGTCAATTCAGTATCCCCACCACTTGTCACGCGGGAGATCGGGGTTCGATTCCCTGCTGGGGAGGATTTTTTTTATAAAGTTAAAACTGTTTTGACGTGTACTTGTTATGTAACAACTACCAATGTATAGTTCATGTATGAGCTGTGTAGGATTTTTCTGAAAAATCTATTTTTATAAACCAATTTACAAGCAGTTCATAATAAATAAGAAATATACGCTAACTGAATTATTCCCTCGTGGAAATTAGTCACTCGGCTAAACGCCTCCTTCGTCTTACAACATTTTCGTTCAACTGGATAAAATCCAGTTTTGTTAGTGTGTGTCTTAAACTGTTTTATACGCTCGTTTCATATACATATAACTAATTTTATACATTTGATTTTATTTTTATTTTTAAAGGTCGATTTATAAATTTGTCGCAGACGTTGCTGTTCGCCGTTGACGTCGCCGCTGTAAGATAAATACGCAGCGAAGGTATGGGTACTTTATATCATCGGTTGATGTTGCCGTTGAAACTTGGCCCTTTTTTCTTAATATGTGTAGTATAGTATCCTTTTCACAACAAGAAAGGTAAAACATGTTCCAAGTGGTAAATTTTTGTAGGAAAGGATCGATTTTGCAATTAGTCTCCGCCCCTCTGTCTGACAACGAATGAAAAATTCATCACAATTGAGATAGGGCGGGTGGGCGGGGTTTATATTTTGCCTTTTTCTTCTTAATATACATAGCGATCTTTTCACAACAAGAAACTTAAAACATGGTTAAAATGGTAAATTCTTGTAGACAAATATGGATCTTGCCATTAAGCCTCGCCCTCAATCTGACAATGAATGAAAAATTCATCACAACTGAGAATTGATATCAAGGCGTTCCTGGGTCGGACCTAATTTTTGCCTTTATTTTTTTTTATATACATCACATTCTTTAAACAACACGACACTCAAAAACATGTTTTTAATTTCTCGTAGAGAATAAAGGATTTTGCAGTTAAACTCTCCCCTCCCCCTGACTCACGACAAATAAAAAAAAATCATCACAACTGAAATAGGGCGGGTGGAGGGGGGGGGGCTACATTTTGCCTTTTTTTTCTTAATATGTGTAGACTTATTTGGACAATTAGTAACTTAAAGCAGGTATAAAAGGGTACATTTTTGCAAGGAAATATGCATTTTGCAATTATGGGGCGGAGCCGAATTTCAAAATCGATATTTCCTTATACAAACAAATTTTCTATTTTAAACATGTTTTAAGTTTCATGTTGTGAAAAGAAGTGTACACATATTCAAACAAAACGCAAAATGTAAGCCCGCCCACCCGCCCTATCTCAATTGTGATGATTTTTTTTAATCGCCGTGAACCAAGGGGACGCATCTTAACTGCAAAATACTTATTTTTTCTTTAGAAGAAATTAAACACTTACCATTTATTTTATTTCCGCTGCAACTTTTTTAAAAAATAAATGCAAGAAAATCTAGGTCGACAATGAAATGGTGGCAAATTTTTATTAATGTTAATAACAAAATTATAACAACTCATTGCGTTTCCTAAAAGATTGAGAAGCTCTGTCCGATAAATCAGAAACGAAGCAAGTATCCTCGGTAGTATAGTGGTCAGTATCCCCGCCTGTCACGCGGGAGACCGGGGTTCGATTCCCCGCCGGGGAGGATTTTTTTTTAATAAAATATTAATTATTTTTGACAAATTCATCTAAAAAGACTGAATATATACAAATTTCATAATAATTGTATTGTTTGCAGGACAATTTATAACTAGATAACGTTATCTAAATAAATAAAAACATGGATGATAACGATATTTCTAATCATTTTAAAATTTATCTAGCGTCAGCTTATAGCTAAAAAAACTTTATCAGTTTGGTGTATACAGTTGCAAATGAATTTGAAAATAAACCGCAAATATTTCACGTAAATCAGAAAGTAACCATTATCCTCGGTAGTATAGTGGTCAGTATCCCCGCCTGTCACGCGGGAGACCGGGGTTCGATTCCCCGCCGGGGAGGATTTTTTTATTCACCGTTTCCATTTTTTTTTTCAATTTTTATAGAAAAAAATGACTTACCACCAAAATGAGTTACCACAATCGATTGTCTAGTATCGGTACATCCGGGCTGTTCTTGTCCACCATTTGGAAAAAAGTCAACATGTCCAATAGGTTGCCACAATCCAAACCCGTCTGTTATCGACTATAAACATTCTAAATAATAACAAAACACAGAAATAAATATTAAGTACCGGACTGGAATCAGTATGAATCACATCAACAAAGTGGGCATCTTCTTTATCCAGTTTCTTGTGTTTTTCCCGTAGATGGTTGTTTCTGAACAACGGACTAGCAGCATCTAAGCCCGTTATTCTCCCTATCAAGTGATCCTTTTTCTTCAAAACCTCAGAAGAAGCGCCTGCCACGTGCGCCCCTAGCGAAAACCCCAGCAAATGTATATCTTCAGGTTTTAACCCATTTTCTACCATTTTCAACAACAACATCCCCAACTGGCGACCCACTACTTCGGTGTTAGCCGCCGCCATCGTGTACTGAGGCCCTCTAGCACCCACACTCCAGTCCATCAAAATCATATTGCAATCATACTATAAGACACAATTATCAAAATTAATACCAATTAGTTACGCAAGTGGAAATAATTTTCTTAATTAAATTAAATTTAATGACAACTTAAGCAGCCAATATGTTAAGTAATAATCATGACCTAGGATAAGTGCGCTCAATTTGCTATTTCAAGGACTAACGTACTTTACGATTAACTTTCTTCGCTAATAGTAAAGTGCGGCTTGCGAAAATCCAACGTTACAAAAGCTGGGTCAAGGGGTCAAAATTTGTATCTATGAGTTGTCGAAATACAGGCTTGATTTTAACGAGCGATATTAACCTTGGTTTTTGGGATACCGATCTGCATTCTTAATTTTGCGAAACAGTGGTGAATTCACTTGTGCAACCACTAGTCTGACTAGATACAGTAGCTACCACCACTACTATCGATATAAAAATGTCTCTTCATGTTGAAATCTGAATTAAAAACAATGGATAGTTGTTCGCAGTGACACTGAGAGGCGGCAAAAATTTATTCAGGTAGTACATATTTCAGAATGTGGTAAGCGGCACTTTTTTATAAAAAACTAATACAATCAGTGTCGGTTAATTTTGACGCTCAATGATGAATAGCGGTGTTGTAACTTCAGCTAACATTTAATCAGACAAAGCTGTCGTCTGTCATTACATAATGACTGGTATTTGCTCATTCAAGTAAATAAATATAGGTACGCCAAAACGCAATTGTGTTTCATCTCCTTTAACAACTATTTAGGTCATCGAAAGAAAGCGAATTAAAAAACTGACTATTTAGAAACAACTTAAACTAACCACCGAAAGTGCGAATAAGTTTGATTTTCAAAACGTGAAAGGCGACATTTGTTTTTGACCTTAACACGCATTATCGCAAACAAAAAAAAACCAACAACCAATTTGCAACTTTTGAGCAATCACTCCACTTATTCGATAAAATCACCCCAAGGCACTCACAATTTTCAAGTAAGTGTTAGCCCCGATCAGTGTTCCGACGTCGTTCCATTTCCCCATATAACCATGGATGATCATCTTCAACGGCAGCGAATAATTGAATTTGGAATTATTCAGTGATTTTCCCTCGTCGTCGTAGCGGATAATTTCCGGATTAGAAAAGTTAGTTTCTCTAGTAAAGAGGAAGAATTTCGTGTTGAGCGTATCGGGATTCTCGGGTATTTTCTGCAGCGGCGACCTTTTATGGGGGAGTTCGAAGCAACCAACGGGATCTGCAAAAAATCACTTTCACAATATTTTTCCCGGAAATATATTTTTTATGGAAGTGGAATTTTTACAGATGAGTAAGCTAGATAATCATACGTATTCGTCCCCGGTTATATAACGTTTCCGGTTTTATTTTTAAGCCGAAGAGGAAATCTTTCTCTCTGCTCTGATTCAACGCAAAAAAAGAATAGTTGAAGTGAAGCGAACGCGCGAATGCGTGAGTTTTAACAATAATATTTGTGTGTTTTGTAATGGTGTTAAAGTGGGTAACAATGTGTAATAATTTCAAGAAACTTACCATAGCAAATAGTCTGAATTGTCCTTTGACGATATTGATTGAGTTTCTCTTGAAGACGCTGCTTTAATTTAAGTCCCGACGGTTTATTGAGTCTTCTAAATCTACTTCTTTGTAGCAGTTGAGCATCACAATTAAATTCACCAATTATAGTTACCACTACCACTAACATTAAGTACCTTAAATTAATCATTTTGTGTTAGTTCTAGTGGATCAAGTGCATATGTGCATCTTGGTTTACACGATCGACTGAAATGTGAGATACAAGTTGCTGTTAACACCGGTAAAAATTACTCCTACCACTTTCACTTGGAAAGTGTTAGGCGCGAGTCGCTGGATATCGCTCCTATGCGGGTATCACGGCACATTTTTTCTTTTATTTTCGTAAAACTTTGAAACGCATTTTTTATTTCCGGGTGTAAAACAAGGTTGTGCCCAAAGTCAGACTTTTTTCGTGATTTAGAAGATAGTATTTTTTTATTTAACAAGTCTGATCTCTAATAACCTGTGTGTCAATCAATATTCATAAGTTTGCCACATTCGTTGGAAGACAGAATGTATGAATATTCCCAGAACTGTCACAGGATATTAAAAAAATAATTGTTGCGTAAAAAAATTCTCACGGAAAGATGTTTCTCTTAATTGTGTGTCTAAAAACGAAATCGATTAGTAAATAGTGTAACTTTTGACGAAATGAATAAAAATTGTCTATAGTGGTTTTGTTGTTATTGCATAAAGATTTATTAATGGGAGATGTTCGGGTTGAATAATCGTAGTATTGCTCAACTGAATGATTTATTTATTCGTTATTTTGTAGTACATATTAGGAGGGTCTAGCCATTTGAGAAGCTATATTAAATACTGATAATTTATAGTTTAGTTTTAACATCTATATTTTTCGTATATTTGAGAAATATTTTCGCATTATTTAATAAATCACATATGCAACGAAACAGACAACAGGGGTAGTTGGCAGCTACGTGAAACAACATCTTAAATAAAAATATTGTCGTTGATTTGTAAGCAATGGTCTCTATTTTGATTTTAGGTTGAATTTTCGAAATAATGTAAAAATATTCTCAAACATATTTTGTATACATAACAATTTAATATTCTATAGGAGAGGAATGATTATTAGTTCGTGAAATATAAGATATCGTTACGAAATGAACGTCGATGAACAAGAATCAGAGTCGGCATATCATATCAGTATAAAAAATGAACCCTGTAAATAGTAATATTGCATCCCCTATTTCACGAACTCCTGTTTAGCTAAATGAGGGGTGTAAATGGTCGAGGCTTGACGTAATTATTGTACACACTTTTAAACCCAGTCATGTAGGAAAGTATAAATTCTATTATGATATGTGCATACAACATCTCGCATACGCCTTATTAAATAACTTTTCAATCGTAAAGCCCAAGCCAGAAGCGAAAAATTCAAAAGCGACTTTTCCACCCCCAGGATGAGCCGTCGCAAATACATTTTATAGCCAAGTGCGTTCATGATAACATTCTAATAATAATTTAACTACTTGTTCTAAAATTGACAAAACTCAAAATTGACTAGAGTATCTCTCTCCACAGCACACTTTTCTCTAACATATTATACACTTTTAGCCACATTTACTACTTAGGCGAGGGAGCGGGGTTATTTGATATGGGCCCGCCGCCCTTATTTGTGTGTGCATTTACATCAAAACCTATTACCTGCATGCGTCTAGCACCGCAAAATAAGTACGGAAATTTTCGAAATAAAGCCCCTTTCACACACTTTACGACATACGATAAAGCTTTATGTTCACTAAAAGTATGTGGATGAGGGTTTAACGGAAATAACAGTCGCTCCACGATCGGTATTTACAACAATAAATGATTAGCTGGAAGAGGTCTGCGTGTGGAACGCCCGTTGGTGATGTTCGAAGTTCGATTATTGCCATACAAATATTTATAATACAACACTAAAAATTATATACAAGAGAACATTGATTGATTAATTATCGATAAACATCTCATTGGCAACAAAACAACGTCGATACACTAAAATAAATTCTTGCATGGCAATGAAAATTTAACAAAACTGTACACTCATTAATACAAAGTCTTCAACAACATAGTCAAAATGAACGATGTTAAAAAAGTACACGAGTCATTATGTTAGTATTTATGTACACCTTGGTAAGAATTTACAAAAGGGGGCTAGTCAGCGATATAGAAATGGAGAGTCTTTACTTAAAATAGAGACAAAACGCCTACGGGGCATTGGAAGATTGTGCTCAAATTACCGTTACCAACAACAATACTGGTGTCCGTCTCAGTTTCTGCACTAAAACTACACATTAATCGGAAATAAAATAAACTATTTTGTAATGAAAAACGTTTCTAAAGTGAGCGTAGAAAAAATAGCGTATGCAACACGAGTTCAAGAGCCATTTTTGTACCCATGTGACAAAATAATTTGCTATTTATTCGTCTACAACGTGGAATGATTCAATTTATCACACATTTGAGCTGAACTGAATTTGGAGGAGTTAGCTTCGGCTCAAATGTGTGGAACTTATCACACCCACTTTCTAACACAAATACATTTTCTGCTATTTTAAACATGTTTTGAGGTTGTCGATAAAATTTTGTAAGCTACCCAGTGATTATAAAACTTGGTTAGTGTCTCATCGTGAGCAAATTTGATACTCGTAGGTAATAGGCTTGTATCCCACTTGTAAATAATTGTCTTCTAATGAGTCCACCATACAAACAACTACATCTAACGACACGTAATCTGCAAATATATAAGAAAAAAATGTATACCATGCGAGTTAGAAAAAGGATTTTCCTTTGGGTAGGTTTGTACTATACATTTAACTCCTAATGTACATAATATTTGAACTAAATCGTGTAGGATTTGTCTCTATTTTATGAATGACCCGTTGATGATGACAGGATACTTCCGAACACACTACACAGTGTGTTAATAAATGTTGAAAATCGCGTACAAATGTTTCTAATTTTCTAAAATGGAAATCTGCCTAATTACATACGGTATATGGCAGTGACAATTTATTTTATACATTACTCTTAATCTTTGTGCAATCATTATTCTTCCAAGTAAAAAAGAAACGTAAAAACATCAATCGAAAAAACAAGGGGTGAGTATATCACACTTCGAAATAAAAAACTGATAAAATTGTGCAACACGCAACAACCATTTGTCTAAATTTTCCACGTAGATACCTCTCTATTCAATAAATATTTTATTTGATCTACCAACTAAAATTATATGTATATCGTATATAATTTAAATATTAGTTAACAATGATCCTAATTCTTTAGTTTGATTCTAATAAGCAAGTACATATAGTATTATATCTAAGACGTTCTCTTCGTATTTATAGTCATCATGTGATCAAATGGTAAATTACATCGATGATGGTGAGTTACCCTAAATTTTGTCTTTTATACAGTGCTGCCACAATAAAAAGTGTTTTGTGCCCAACGCGCTAATGATTCAGTCGCTTTGTTCACCGTCACCCTCCACGTCCTTCTCGCCAACCTCCCTCGTGTTGCTGTCTTCCGTCTCGATACTGCTCGTGGGCGTCGGAGTATCCTCGATACTCAACAAAGCAGAACTGTTACTCTGCGTCACGTTCGGACTGGTATCGAAGCTGCTGCCCGACTTGGACTCCCTCCCCGGGCTGTACTTGTCGGAAGTGTAAGTGGTGCTCAGATAACTCGTCTTTTCGGGATATTTGCTGCCGATGGTGTTGTATTTGGTGTCTGTCGTGGGAAAAATATCGCTGCTCTCGTAACTCGGCTTGCTCGAGTACTTCGACTCGCTCGAGTAGTTCTCGAAGAACGACTTCGTCTCCTTGATGGTACTGATCGTGTTGAACTTGTCCCCGTAGCCCAACTCCCCCGGCGTGTAGTTCAGGTACGCCCCCGTCAGGAACGGGTTAGTGCTGGCGTACGTCGTCGGCGTGTAACCCAGCCCGAACATGGTGCTGGCGGTCGTACTGATATTCGAGATGGTGCTCTGCAGGCTGCTCAGGGTCGAGAAGCTCGGCGTCGTGGTGCCCAACGTCACGTTGAGCCCCGCCGACGTCGACTGCATGGCCGGCGAGCTCGACCGCGACACGCCGCCCCCGAGGATCGACGGCGACGCCCGGCTCAGGCTCGACACGGACGGCGAGTTGCGGGGCCCGGGCGAGTTCACCGACGTCGTCGACGGCGAGTTTCGCACGCCGGGGGAACTGATGGTCACCGACGGGGAGCTCCGCATCATCATGGTCTGGCTGGATGGGGAGGCGCGGATGGCCGGCGAACTGACGCGGCTGGGCAGGCAGTGTTTAACGGAGTCGGAGCCCGACTGGGAATCGCTACTGCTGCTTGGCGAACCTGGAGAAGAGACTATCACCTGACGCGGCTTGAGACCGGTTGCTGCTGCTTGTGGGCCGACTCGAGGAGAGAGCGGACGGTAAGGACCTTTGCTTGCTGATGATTGGCCCTGCGTTCCAGAAAAAACAGCATTTCTAACATTTGCAAGCCAAAGACCGTTGAGAATAGCCCACCGGTCTATCAAATTGAATAGGTATAGTCAGGTCACGGTACTTACTAGTATCTGGAGTGATGGGCCCGGTTGCTGTGGGCCTCGCGGGCCCGAGACTGCTGAGCGAGGAGGAGGAGGAAACGGAGCCGCTGAGAGCCGAGACTGCTCTCGCGCCTGAGCCTGCAGTCCCGGAGGACACGCACTGCGATTGTCTCCACGCGGCCCGGGTGGCCTGCCGCGACGACCTGTCTGGAAAGGCCCCCTCTAAATACCATCGACACCCAAACACATCGATTCTAACTACAATGTGAGCGAAGCCCCAAGACTAAAGGTGGGAATTAAAGGAAAGCACAAAAACAATACAGAAACGACAAGACGGGAAATCGTACCATACGGATCAGATTTTCAACTTTCGACTATACAGTACTCGACAGAGAAGACGAAAGGAGGTAGTGTGTGTCGTGTGTGGAATGCTCTTTCAACGGTAAACTACACATTACCTGAGTGATGTTTGGGAGTAGGCCATATCTGGAGTAGGTACTTTAGGACGTTGATGGGCTGGTGGTAGTCCAGGTCGAAGCTCTTCGTGCTGGCGGTGGGGGTGAGGGTGTCGCTCGACTGTAGCATGAGTGGAGGGGCGAGGGCGGTGGCTAGGTTTTGAGCAGACATCTTGTTCCTGTCGGACGCGGAAACGACGAGGGCCAGGTGATCCATGAGGAAGATCAGCGTAGCCTGGAAGACAAAATATACGCCCGAATACACAAAACCGGGTAGTTAGAAGGCGATTTACCCTGTTGATCCGCGGCAGACAGTCTAGAATGGAGAACATGAGCTTGGCATTGCCTTCAGGATCATCGGGAAGACAAACACCGAGCGCGTCAACCATCATCTGGTATAGGCATTTGGTGAATAGAGGTTCTGGAAGTTCTCTTAAATAATCCTTTAACACTCCCGTTATTACGTTGATATCTGGGACGTTATCCGGACTTAAATCTACTGATCGACTGTTACGTTCAAAGGCCTCTCGAAGGATACGTTTCTTAGTTGCTGATCCACAAAGACGATATAAACCTGGAGGAGGAGGTGCGCGGTGTTACGTGTTACGACAGAAATTTCGTTGACGTACCTATGATATCTAAACCTCTTCTCTCTACTTCTTCTACGCATCGTTTTATGATAATAGGAATTTGTTGAGTGCTAGAAACAAGACCGGTGGCAACCCCTCCGGGAACTCCCCCAGTTTTACTTTCCCGGTTAACCTGAGATTAATTGGGATGGTATTAAGCAAAGAATAGTCGTTTGACGTTGATGTACGTACCACCGATTCCAGGTCGACGCCGAACAAAGGCGCCGTCCTCGATAGTGACAAAGTCGACGAAGCTTTCCGTCTGTAAAGTGTTTGGGAATCCGTGTGGCGCAGCCTCAAGTATAAAGTTCCCCTTGGTTCGATTTTAAGAGCAAGTTGGTGTATCGGGCCCGACTTTAAGAGAGTTGGTAAATATACTGATCCTTTGTAGCACAATTTATGTCTGTATTGTGGATCCCAGGAGTAGATTAGAAGGTCCAGTTCTCTGTTGTTGACCAAATCCAATTCGAAGCTTTCATCCCAGTCGAACACTAAATCGCCTGTCCTTACCTAATAACGTCACAGGATTTAACATTGTTTCTCCCTCCATTTAATCCCAATTACTTACCACCGTCCTCGCTTTATGGACTCTATCGCACTCCAGTACACAATACAAATCACGTAAACCGGTCGAACCTGTTTCGATTTTCTTATTAGAGAGTGTAAAGTAGTTGGAAACTTACTGACCGCTAATACTGGGCGACGTTCCGCTGGGAGTGACAGGAGTAGTTGCGGTCGACGTTCCAGTCGACGCTCTTAAACCTCTGCCAGCCAATAAGTGGACCCATAACATGCCGCTGACAGGCTCGTCGGAGATCGAACTGAGAGCCCCGCCCGCCCCCGTCAGCGACGACAGCCCGTGTATCGAACTTCCCGAAGGAAGTCCGGGCTTTTCGATCTTGTACTTGAGGAACTCGGCCGGGTTGATGTCCAGCTGCCTGTGTCCTCTGGGTAGCGTGCCGCTGGGCGTGGGGACCGGGCTGGGAGCGGCGCCCGACCGCACCGAGTCCAGGTCGAGCAGCTGCCTCATCCGACGCATCGAAGGCGAGCGCGACGAGCTCAACGCTGCAAAACCGTTTCAGAAAGAGGTCGGTTTAGAAGAAACGCGCCTTACGTGATGATGAGGTGATGTGTTGCGTTGATAATGACCTAGCAGGGGCTGAGGGATGTTGTGATCGTGTAAAATGTCTGTCTAATGTCGATGTGGTACCTGGTCTCCCATATGAGCCGTAGTAGCCCCCTTCAATCTGTCAAAAACAACAGCCAGATTAAAAACCTGTAACCTGTCGGTATCAAAATTGAAAAAAATTACGTTTTTCAGTGCGTCGTGGATGTTTTCGGCGCTGTAAGTGAACCTGGCTGCTCTTTGCTGATTCAGGACGTCTCGGGACGCTCTGATCTGCTCGTAAATAGCCGACGTTGAGGGTGTTCGGCTCAACCACTGTCTGTACTCATCTGAAGTGAATACACTAGGTGACGAGGGTATCCGCCCTTCATTATGAAAATGAAACGTGTAGAAAGAAGCAATAAGGTGAATCCAGTGTGGGAAAGTAGCCCGAGAGCGGCTTCGATCACGCCTCGGGCTGCTTTCGAGTCGAGGGTGTGTGCGAATGGCAGTCCTCGACGTGATTTAATGAGATTGTAAATGCTGTGTACCTGACCGGCTGTCGAGTGGGTGACGAGTGTTTCGGCGTGTAATTGGGCTTTTTGGATGGGATTAAGTGCTTTCATCAAATCAAACGTTCGCAGCGTGAAATTCGCCAACAGACAGCAAAATCGTGAATACGGATCGATATACAACACTCGCATACTCGTATACACGGACGTGCTTCCGACCACCTTGTCATAAATAACGCGAACTCTGACAGACCTGTCCGTAATAACCAACTAGTTAGGGCTTCGCGAATCGAGCTTAGTTTCGTTGTCAAAAAGCGTGCCGTGAAATATTAACGAGGCCCGCCGGTGGCCACACTTCGACTTTGTTTATGCCCCCAAATCGATCCGTATGGGTCGAGTTCCCTCTTGTACATTATCTTAATAGGCGGAAAGGGAAGGGGATAATATATAATGTCAAAATTATTTCCTAGAGAATGGTTTTATTCGTGAGACACTTTTGCGAGGTGGCAAAGCGAGTCGCTTACCCCTGTCCCTTCGTATCGAAGGCATTTCTGGTGCGGAGAGAGTTCCATCCGATTCATCTTGTAAAAGACCGACGCTCCTATCTCCGAATCTTTTATTCATGGCCAATCTAAAAAGCAACCATTATGTAATAACAGGTCTCGCGCCTGGAATTCGTCTAAAAATCTCTCACCTAGTCGACCCTCGGGTATCACGTGGGAGCGAGTTGAATTTTGTTGTAATATCGGTCGATGTGAGGGAATTTTGCCTTCCTAATGTGGGTATTGTGCTGTGGGGAACTGAACTCTGATTCCTGCATCGGGAAAATCATTTTGACGACTTGCATGAAATACACTGACCCGAAAATTTAGCGCACCCTTTTTCACCCGCTGAATGCCGCTCGTTCTTTACTCTAAACCCACCAGTGGCGCCCGAATCTATTCACAAAACGTTACATGGGTTAAAAAATCCCCCCTCGATTTTTGCGGAAAGCGTCACTGGTACGTAGGAACGACGGCAGTTAGGAAGTGAATCGAGTCCGGCGCCCGCCTGGGCTCAGTACCTGTAGTAGTAGTAGCTGCTCCTGGGGCCGGCCGTGGCCTCCGTGTCGCTCGAATAGTCCAGACTGCTCCTGTTCCTCCTGGAGAGTGCGCTGCTTGTGCCGTACTGCGAGGCCGAGGATCCATACTTGGCCTGAGCCAACTGAGCGGCCACGGCCGCTTGGTCCACGTATCTCTGGTTGTACCTGCTAAGGGTTGATCCGGATTTGAGGCTAGATCTTAAAAGGCTGTGTCTACCAGCTTGAGTGATACTGGTATAGTCTGAGTATTCCGTGTGGGGGAGGTGCTGATCGGATCCGGAACGGGGCATGATTCGCCGGCTGCCCGTTCCGGTGTGCTGAACGTAATAATGAGATGAAGGGCTTTGTTGTGATGACAATCTAGAATTAACGGGAGGGGTGACAACCACCACGGCTAGACACGCGGAGTACCTTGACGGCAAGGGCTGCGCCCCGGCGGACATCCGGCGGCCGGGCAGCGCGAACGAGTGCACCTTCTCGGCGAGGCTCTCCAGCGTGTTGGGGTAGCTGCGCTCGTAGGGCTGGAAGTGCTGCATGCTGGACTTTGGCTGCTCGGTGATGACGGGCGGCGGCGGCTGGTAGCCCCAGGTGCCGGCGTCGGGCGGCCGCGAGTTGTAGTACAGGTCCAGGCCGTTGCTGTCCTGGGCCGAGTGGCGGGAGTCCATCGACGGCAGGCCGAGGCCGAGCCGAGAGCGGGACTCGCTCATCTCTCTGCCGTCACCGGTGTGCCTCTGACGCATCGATTCCCTGCAACCGATTCCTGGAAGCGTGAATTTTTCATACACTTCGATTACCTGTGTTGTCCGAGATCGCCTTCGTCGGGTTCGTCTTCGCGTAAGTCTCGCTTTATCACAACGACGGGAGGGGGTTTGTGTTCGGATCGGGGCTGTACGTTTGGCGAACTTTGTCCTCCTTTGCTGCCTTTTCGCTGCCGCGTCGCTAGGACCAGTCTTCGTGGGATCGACATTATTATGACGACGTCGTCTAGGCTCATCCGAGTCACGTCTACCAAATTCACCGCCAGAATCTCGTCGCCGACCTTTAACGCAACAAACCGCTCGTTGGGAAGGGTTATAGCTTTACCGGCAAATCTGCGGTAAACAGGGCTTATCACAAATTTAACAAAAGTGAGCGCTCGGAGAGTCCGAAACGAGCCAACGCATTGTGGAGAACAAAATTTTAGAGGATAGAGTGTGCGGCGCGGAGGCTGGCCCCATCCCCACTCTTCTTACCAGATATTCCGGTTTACATCTTTTTGGTGTCACTGGTGTGAGTAAGGCATTCTCGTCGCCTGAAAACTTGTTTTCAAGCCAGTGTCGACTCTAAGAGTTCAGAAGATATTTGGTTGATTTGGACTATAATTTCTAGGGGAAATAGTTGTTTGGTCGGATTGTACAACGAATAAGCGAACATTTTTGGTAGATATTTAGATGGTTTTATTTACAAATATAATATCACGTGTCACATGTTTCACTCGATTTTGACATGCAATTTTTTTTTCTTCAACTAAGAATGAATTCTTTAATTGGGTTTTATACTAACAAAACGTCTTAAATTAACAATATTATTAAAATGGTAATAATCCAATGGATTTTTTTTTTGGGAAAATGTAGCTATTTTTATGTTTTGGAAACATTGTATTTGTATGGATTTTTAAATGTTTTTGGTGCAAATTTTTGTGTTTATTTTCGATACATTGTATGATATTAACACTGAGAAAAAAATTAAAAATTAAAATAATGGAAAATTTTAAAAATCGTAAAACAAAGATGTCAAGAAATCGAAACAAAAAAATCGTAAAACCGAAAAAATGAAAAATGCAGAAATGTATAATTTAAATAAATCTTGACTTCTCGATGTTTCAGTTTTTCAATTTCCTAATTTTTGGTCATTTGGAATTCACCAATTTATCGATTTTTTTAATTTTTAAATTCTTTATTTTTTGTAATTTTTAAGTTTCAAATTTTCATTCTCAACTTTTCAATTTCCAGATTTTTCTACGTCTCGAATTTTCCATTTTTCAATTCTTCGATGTTTCAGTTTTTCAATTTTTCGATATTTTGATTTCACGGTTTTTGAATTTTTCAAATTTTCGGATTTTCATGTTTTAAATTTTTCAATTTTTTAGTTTTTCGATTTTTCAATTTTTTGATTTTCCAATTTTTGTGATTTCAGTTTGGAATTTTTTAATTTCGCGATGTTTCAGTTCTTTGGTTTTTCAATTTTCCAATTTTTCAATTTTTTTGATTTCTGAAATTTTCGATTTCTCTATTTTTAAATTTTAGATTTTTCAATTTTCAAATTTCGGATTTTCATTGTTTCGATTTTTCGACTTTTCAGTTTTTCGATTTTTCAGTTCTTTGATTTTTCAATGTTTTAAATTTTTTATCTTTTGATTTTAGTGACAAACTTTTGTGTTTATTTTCGATACACTGTATGATATTAACACTGAGAAAAAAAATTTAAAATTAAAATCATCGAAAAATTGAAAAATAGAAATATCGATGAACTGAAAATCGTAAAACCGAAAAATTGAAAAATGAAGAAATGCATAATTTAAATAAATCTCGATTTCTCGACGTTTCACTTTTTCAATTTTTGGATGTTTCGATTTTTTGATTCCTCATTTTTTTCAAGTTTTCGATTTTCGGCTTTTCGATTATTAGAGTTTTCGATTTTTCAGTTTTCCAGTTTTTCAATTACGCAATTTTTGGTCATTTTAGTTTTGGAATACTTCAATTTATCGTTTTCGAATTTTCCATTTATCCATTTTTCGATGTTTCAATTTTTCAATTTTTTGACTTTTCGGCTTTTCAAGTTTTGGATTTTTCGATTTTCTAGTTTTTCCATGTTTCCCAATTTTTTGTAATTTCAGTTTGGAATTTTTTAATTTCTCGATCTTTCGGTTTTTTAATTTTTCAATTTACGAATTTTTTGATTTTTTAAATTGTGGAATTTTCGATTTCTCTATTTTAAAATTTTAGATTTTCACCGTTTCGATTTTTTACTTTTCAGTTTTTTGATTTTTAAATTTTTGGATTTTTTAAATTTTTTATTTTTCGATTTTAGTAACACATTTTTGTGTTTGTTTTCGATACATTGTATGATATTAATACTGAGAAAAAAAAATGAAAAAATAAAATTATCAAAAATTTGAAAAATCGAAAACCTGAAAAAATTGCAAAATAGAACGTATAATTTAAAAAATCGAAAAACTGAAAAATAGAAATATCGAAGAAATGAAAATCAAAAAATCGAAAAATTGAAAATTTGAACGATCGAAAAAGAAAAACAGAAAATTTAAAACCGAGTAATCGAAAAATCGAATGATTAAGAAATCGAAACATTTGAGAAATCCGAAAAATTGAAAAATTGTAATATTGAAGAATTGAAATGAAAAATCAACAAATCCAAAGTCTAAAATTTAAAAATCGAAAAAGTAAAAAAATCGACACATCGAAAAATCCAGAAGTCAAAAATCGAATAGTCCAAGAATCGAAAAATCCCAAAACTGAAATATCGAAAAACTGAAAAGTGAAACAAAAGCTGAAAACTCTCAAAATTCTTTCCGATTTTTCTGTCTTTTCAATTAATAATTTAAAATATTCAAAAACTGAGATATTTAAAAAAATGAAAAATTGAGGGATCAAAAAGTCAAAAGTGAAATCGAAAAATCACAACCTTAAAAAATTGAAAAAATGAAAAATCGAAAAATTGAAGAAAAACATCGATTAATTGAAAAACCGAAAAATTGATAAGTCAAACATTAAAAAATCGGAAAATCGAAATATTTAAAAATCGTAAAATTGAAGAGGAGAAAAATTGAAAAAACGTAAAACTGAAACATCGAAAAATTGAAAATCGAGAAATTAAAAAATTAAGAAATTGTAAAATGGAAAAATTGAATATTAAATAATCTGATAAATCCCAACACTGAAATTTTGAAAAATTGAAAAATGAAAGAAAAACTGAAGAATGGAAAAACTGAAAAATCTCAAAACTTAAATACTCAAAAACTGAGAAATTAAAAAAAAAATGAGAAATCAAAAAGTCAAAAAAGTGAAGTCGAAAAATCAAAACCTTAAAAAATTGAAAAAATGAAAAATTAAATATCTAAAAAATTGAATAATCGAAGAATTGAAGAAATGAAAAATCCAAAAACTGAGTTTATAATAGTCAAATTTGGAAAGTTCGAAAATTGAAAATCAAGAAATTGAAAAATTGAGAAATTGTAAAATTGAAAAATTGAATACTCCTATTAAATAATCTGAAAAATCCCAAAACTGAAATTTCGAAGAATTGAAAAAGGAAAGAAACACTGAAGAATGGAAAATCAAAAAGTCAAAAAAATGAAGTCGAAAAATCAAAACCTTAAAAAATTGAAAAATCGAAATATTTAAAAATTGAAAACTTTAAGAAAAAAACTAGAAAAACGTAAAATTGAAACATCGGAAAATTGAAAATCGTGAAATTGAAAAATTGAAAAGTTGTAAAATTGAAAAATTGAATACATAATAAATTAATTGAAAAATTTCAAACTGAAATTTCGAAAAATTAAAAAATGAAAACAAAAAACTGAACAATCCCAAAACTGAAAAATCGAAACCTTTAAAAATAGAAAAACTGAAAAATCAAAAACCTGAAAAATCGGAAAATTGAAGAATTAAAACATTGAACAATCGAAACAGTTGAAAGTGGGAAAATGGGAGAATCAAAACATCGATTAGTTGAAAAATCGAAAAATTTAAAGGTTATAAAAGTCAAAAATTGAAAGATCGAAATATTTAAAAATCGTAGAATTGAAGACGAGAAAAGTTGAATAAAAGTGAAAGTGAAACATCGAAAAATTGAGAAACTGAAAAACTGAAAATCGAGAAATTGAAAAATCGAGAAATTATAAAATCCAAAAATTGAATCATAAATAAACAGAAAAATTCCAAAACTAAAATTTCGCAACTCTTTCCCGTAGAAACTATGCTCGAGACCGGTTAGGATGTGTATCAGATCCGAGAACATGACGTAGATCAAACTGTTTCCGAACGCTTAGAGTCGACATTGGCCTGAGTGTGCTCTAGTCTGTAGATCAAACAAGTTCTCAGGCGACGTCTAATAGAGAAGCACATATAAATGTTTCATCAGTTAATCCCTTGTATTGATGGCAAACTTTTGAAAACTTTTTCCGATTTTTCTACGTCTTTTCAATTAATAATTTAAAAAATTATTATAGTTTTTGTATGAATGCCGTCTTCGCCCTTCCGATATTAGCAATTATAATTTTTTTCAGGTGAAATATATTTTTTTTTTCTGTTAAATAAAAATTTACCCAAAGTTATTATTGGCAAATCAACATGTGTAAACTGCAATAATTTCAAAAATCATAGAACTATTTAATTTGATTTTTTCCGCTGAATAAAATTGAACGACGACTTACGTTTGGGTCTTCCAGTCGCTTACATCGTTTCAGATAAAAGCGGAACTTTCTCCGATGAGCGCTTTCCACTGATAAAGGAACGAGTACTAACCGTTAAAAAGTTTCTATTCCTCATAAACAGCTAGCAATTTTTTACGCACTTTCTGAACTCCAAAAAGTTGTTGGAGCGTTAAAAAAGGGTGTGGCTTTCCGTGAAGTGAAAACTGTTCTTAACAGCTATTTATCTCGGGAACCTTTGGCCAAAGTTTGGTAACATTTTTTGAAACGTCTAAAATCCCGGATGATTGTGACTCGGCGGTAGGAAAACCTAGTTGGTCGCGTTTATTCTCCCGCATGAAATTGGATAAGTTGCAACAATGGGAACCGCCGGAAAAATCGTTAAGTTTACGATGTCGCAAAATTCCTTATTTACATGCACCATAAATGTAATTAGATATAAAATCGTTGGAGGAGTTGGCGCTTTCATTATGAGAAATTACGTGTAAAGACTGATAATCCCATAAAGTTTCCTCGAGCCATCAAAGAGCCGATTTTATCCCCAGTAACTTGATACGCGTTAACTTCTGCTCTAAGATTTCTGCGAGAACACTTATTAAATTTCTTGGAAAAGCTCATTAATAATTGCCGATAGAACGCCCCACTTCCGCCCACATTGTTACAAATACAATCTCAAAAACCCGAGAGAACGCACTTTCCAACGATATTGGCTAGTGTGGCTTACATTAAACTTTAAACTGAATAGAGATTGAAAATTTTGAGCGAAGTGGATGAAAATTCATCGCACCACGTTTTCTGAAAATTCCGAAGTCAAATCTCGATTGCTTTATTTCGTGTTTTCTGATCTCGTGGTCCCCAGGGCACCGTCCACGAAATTGTCTTCAGCCCAATTAAAACTTGTTCTCTCTAGCGTCGATGCGTGATTATCGGGATTAGTTCTTCGGGTTTTAATAAAAACTAGTTCAAAAATTATTTTACACGAAACAATAAAACGCGCCAAATCGAAACCCGGTTCTAAACCTATTATCGCGATAAATGCGCAAACCCCAGTGGATACTAATTTACGGCAGTTTGTGTTCGGTCTGAGATTACAGGCAGGTCGCTTATCAGCATCTTACCTTAAGGCATCCACTGTTGTAGACGGCAGATTCCAGAGCTATTCTCGATATAAATACGCCATCGTTCCTGTCAATTCCGTTGCCTTCCCGTATGTATAAACCCAGTGTTTGTCCCGGCCTTTTCACGATTTCCACGAACTGCACTGTGTGCTTTCCATCTTGCATTGCTAAAAACCTCTTTGCCGCATCGCCTGCCGATCTGCCCAAGTGTCTCGAATCCAAGATCCTTACGATCATCTCTCCGAGCCTTTCCACGTGCTAAAAATCCAAAAAGTACTACACTTGTTCAACAAGTAGAGATACAATTAGAAGGAATGTGAGAACTGTGTCAAGAAATGGAAAGATCATTTAAGATTTAGCGTCTGCACCGTCGTCACAAAGGACATGGAATTAATTAGCGTTGTCTTTGATCTTCGCATTATTTAAATACGACAAAAATGAATTTATATTATTTTCTTCCCTAGTTCAAAGGGTCGGGAATGGAGCTAGTTAGGGTATGCTGCGAATTAATTCAGAGTGTTCTGTATGAATTAATTAGTCCTGGGTCTCTGGGAAAGGACGAGTGATGTATGAAGAGGACCACACTTAAACAGATTAAGATTTTTCAGGACTCACCTCCAAGGCGGCCGCAGTTGAAGCATCGTGATCGTTTTCTACGGCTTCTATCTGCTTGAAAATATCACTACTGATTCCTGATACCTGGAATAATTTAGACATTACAAACGAGGTGGGATTTTTGATGGTCCAGGTCTTGAAAGTACGAGGTTGCTTATAAATAAACGGGTTCAATTGATTTTACAACAAGGAAACGTTTTTAGTTCTAGCCTTGATCCATTCACAACGCCGTCAATAATGTTTTAATAATAAATAAACAAATAGTGAATCAATTGGGAAATGCGACAAAAATCTATTTTAGTTTTAAAGATCCGCCAGTGCTACAGTTTGCATCACTTAATGACCACTTCACGTGCAGTTTATTCATTATTTCGAAAATCAACACAACTGTAGTAGATTTTGGATAAATACTAATGTCAGATCTAGTGACCACCTTATTACAATTTTATCCACCAGCGGAAACTCTAGTACACGACATGTTTAGTCACTAATTTTCGTGAATTGATAAAATCTCCACACGTGAGTTACACATTTTTTCAATAACGGCGTTAAATTGATTGCAAATAATACGTTGTTATTAGCGACTTATAAATGTAACTAAAGCCTGAGAAGAAATTTTACGTTTCTCAAAGTATTTCATGGAAAGTTTTCATGGAAACACTTTCCGTTGAATTAAATTAGTTCTCAGTTATGAGTCATTCCATTCAAAAATGTGGTCACGCAAGCAAGTGGGTTTTTATTGGAATTTCAAAAGTACAAAGTGTAGCTGAAGATAACTACATAACGTAGACATTTTTTTAAATCGCTTTGAAAAACGACACTGTTCAATTACATGATATTTATAATTTTTATTGACTTCTCGATGTCCGTTATTAAAACTTATAATGGTAAAAGTTGTCGCCTAACCCCTAATTTTTAAATTATCTCTTAGTTGTACATAAATAACGCAACTCTGGCTCGTTTTAAATGTAGCATTATTCTCGTGAAAATTTTGCATCCCCTAATGCCGTTTAAAATTCGCACCAATAATCATCCGTCAATTCGAATCAACAGTTCTCAAGAGGATTACACCTAATCGATGGGGTGTTTCGTCGATTGTCCGAACAAAAATTCGGAAATTCCATCGCTTCGCTTAACATATTTAACCCAGAACATAAAAAAGTAATTACGTTCATTAAAAATACATTAGGCAATAAGTTATTTCGGCTATTGATTTCAAATTCGGGCCAAAGCTCCATGTAATATCTTTCCAATTGGCTTGGTATTCACCCCTTCGACAATTGTCGAATTCAGTCCCATTATCAACATGACAATCCCTAATTACCTTCCTGAAGTCTCCCTGAATGACCATGGGCGGATGGTTGGTCCTGTTGTTAGGGGCCGGAGGCGCCCGCAGCGGAGAGGCTGTGAGATCCAAAGCCTCTCGCCCATTATCCTGAAAAAAACCACATTTATAATTCTTAAACAGAAAAAGTACGCCTAAGACTTCCACGTAATCTATCTAATAAAATCGCCACGCGAAGAAAGCATGAAATCAGATATTTGTCGAGCCCGCCATAGAGTCACTCTCGAAGTTAAGAACAGCCACTAACACCACATTTGTTACTTTTTCCCTCAAGTTATCTAATATATCGTAACGAGCGAAGTTGAAATTCTGCAACTTATTAAAATGGGCCTGCAGTTCCGTCTTTATGACGTCATGCCCCCGGAAAAACTTTGCCTTTTCAGCGGCGAAGTTGCGGTTCGTTCCGGGTTATTCGAGGGGGAACGTCGTAGAAACCTAATAACAAAGTATATAATTTCTTGCAAAAATATGCAAGTTGGATAGTTTTGACGCCACTTGAATAACAATGTCCACGCGATCGAGCGTCGCCGGCTCCTTTCCCGGAATTTAAGCTGCAATTTAAAGTAACAATAAAATTCCCTCATTCGTCACCCCCGATGATGAATTCGTCACTCATAAATCCGGGCCCGAACAAGAGATCCATAAATTATTTAAAGTAAACATAACATGAAATCACACACAAGCTCATAACTTTCGCCGGCTGACGTGTGTATTTTTCGTCGGAACAAAGTGTAAGGGGGGGGGGGGGGGGGGTGAAAGAGATGGATATGTGACACTAGCTCATCTTGTTTGGGAGTGCACAATATGAAAGTTGTTTTTTTAATTTTTTTTCTTAGGTGATTTTTTACCTGCAGCGACTTTGAAATGGCTGTGATTTCGTACTGCACTTGACAACTCTATTCCCTGAATGCTAAATTGCGTTTTCAGCGGGTTTTATAACATTTACGTTAAACACGTCAATTAATTTTAACCCCAAAACGCGCTGAAAGCATTTACGGGATTGTCAACGGCTGCTGAAAATCGTGGACGAATTTAAATCATTTTTATTTTTAAATAACTGGCAGCACCATTTAAATTTTAAATATAAACGTGTTCGAAACTTCGACGATTTGCTAAAATTATTCATTTATCCCTTTTGGAAAGTCCATTGCGTCATCCCAATTAACTGTTAATATAGATGGAACAGTGTCAAATAAATAACAAAAGTATTTTATTTAGTATTTATAACATGATAAACTAGACGTTTAGAAGACATTAGAACTTTAATGAAGTTGTTTATTTCTCCTTTAAGATCCGTAATGAAATTATATTGTAAAGGATTCGAACGCAAAAAATCGAAGACAGAAATACGTTTTTTGACAAATTCTTCCAGTTTAAAATCTAAATATTAAAAATATTTATCACTACAGACTGTAGGAAATATTTATCTTAATTTATTAATGAATCTCCTCATTTTACATCTTGTTTGACTGAATTTAATCATTCTCTATGTGTACAATAGAAATAGTTGATTTAAATGAAACACCTTATATATTTTTACATATTCTCATAAAATAGATTTTTGCCACGTTTTTTCAATTTCCATGAATTTTTTTGGCACGAAGGGTTTACAAAAAAATCGCAATAGGGTTATATATGACATAGATGAAATCCAATTTTAATGTACATAGCGTTTATAAAAAATTTTAAAACTTTGAAATCTTCAAATATAGGTTTTGAAAAATAACCCTGCTGCGATTTTTTTGCGAACCCTTCAATTACTAAAAAATTTGAAGAAAATTGGAATAACGTGGCAATTTCACCTTCAGTATTAATCTGTAATTGTAAATCTTATAATAGATCAATCAAAATATCAAAAAATCTATGTTATGTTTTATTTCAAAAAACTACGTTTTACACCTTTAAAACAGAACACTCTGAATAGTTAAAAATAATTTTGATCTTTGACTTTTTTCTGTTTCTAATAATAATTTACGAGATATCAAAGGACCCGCGCTTAGTGACTCACCCTGTATATTTCTCCCCTCTGAAAAACCGATGTCGTTTAAAAATATATAAAAAATCATGTGTTTTAACTTTCAAAGACGAAGCAACTCTTATTTACATAACTTCACTATTTCGATTGGTAGTACTAATACTTATATAGTGGGGATTCTAGGCCACTGTGTGGCGGGAAAATTTGAATTCGTGCGCAGGATTGGGCTCTAAGCTATTTTTGATTTTATGCATGTTCGAGTTCTACGCCACTTTTTGCGGGAAATTTTGATTTACTCCCCAAAAAATGAGCCACAACTTGAATCTGCGCAAATTTCAAATTTTCCCGCCACAAAGCAAAGCAGACTAGAACCCCCACTAGATCTAGTGTCTGGAAAATGGTGGATTAACTCTTCAGTACGTTATGTGCGGGGTTTCGGAAGTCTCAAAAAAATAATAAAAAAATTATTTGAGGGAGATTACGAAAAAAAAGGTAGTTTTATAAAAGTAAAATTGGCAACACTGTGCTCACCTAAAACCTCTGGTTTACTTTCTGATTTCTTAGTAACGATGATGACTAAAATCCAACATTTAATTTTTTAGGACAATAACCATAACAACCAGGGGAGCTAGGGCTGCTAAGATAAGACTAATTTTGGCAAATGACATACCCTATAAGACAAGAGCGGGCGGATGGGCGGGGCTAGTACCTGCAAAGATATGACTGATTTTGGCAGATGAGATATCCTGTAAACAACAGAGGGCGGGTGGGCGGGGCTAGTACCTGGTAAGATAAGAGTGATTTTGGCAAATGAGATACCCTCTAAGAAAAGAGAGGGCGGGTGGGTGGGCCTAGTACCTGTTAAAATAAGACCGATTTTGGCAAATGACATACCCTCTAAGAAAAGACATAGCGGGTGGGAGGGGCTAGTACCTGCTAAGATAAGGCTGATTTTGCCAAATGACATACCTTCTAAGAAAAGACACAGTGGTTGGACGGGGCTGGTACCTGCTAAGATACGAGTGATTTTGGCAAATGAGATATCCTCTAAGAAAAGAGAGGGCTGGTGGGAGGGGATAGTACCTGCTAAGATATGACTGATTTTGGCAGATGAGATGTCCTGTAAAGAAAGAGAGGGCGGGTGGGCGGGGCTAGTACCTGCTAAGATAAAACTGATTTTGGCAAATGAGATATCGTCTCAGAAAAGAGAAGGTGGATGGGCTGGGCTAGTACCTGCTAAGATAAGAGTGATTTTGATAAATGAGATATCCTCAAAGAAAAAAGAGGGTGGGTGGTCGGGGCTAGTACCTGCTAAGATAAGAGTGATTTTGGCAAATGACATATCATCTAAGAAAAGAGAGTGCGGGTGGGCGGGGCTCGTACGAGCTAAAACAGGATCGATTTTGGCAAATGACATATTTAAAAGAATTTTGGGGCAGTTTGGTGTTGTATTTTAAGAAAATTCTGAATCTGCGTCAATTTTAAATTTTCCCCGCCACAAACCAAAGTGGACTAGAAGCCCCACTATATCGGGTGCCTGGAAAATGGCGGATTAACTCTTCAGTACGTTATGTCCGGGGAATTCGGAAGTCTCAAAAAATGATAATAAAATTATTTGATGTAGATTACGAAAAAAAAAACTTAGTTTTATAAAAGTAAAATTGGCAACAGTGTGCACCCCTAAAACCTCTGGCTTGCTTTCTGATTTCTTAGTAACCATGGAGACTGAAATCCAACATTTATTTTTCTTTTAGGACAATAACCATAACAACCAGGGGGATTAGGGCTGCTAAGATAAGTCTAATTTTGGCAAATAACATACCCTATAAGACAAGAGAGGGCGGGTGGGCGGGGCTAGTACCTGCTAAGATAAGAGTGATTTTGGCAAATGACATATCATCTAAGAGAAGAGAAGGCGGGTGGGCGGAGCTGATACCAGCTAACACAGGATCGATTTTGGCAAATGACATATTTAAAAGAATTTTGGGGCAGTTTGGTGTTCTATTTTTGGAAAATTCTGACCTGACCTGTCTTTGAATTAATTTTGGGACCTCGTTTTTTTGACGTTCTAGGTATTCCTGTTTGGAAAGAATTAGGAAGTGCTTTGGAGTCTCTAGTGCTTTTTTTTATAATAATTTAATTAAATGTCTTAGAGGATATATCATTTGCTAAAATCAGTCTTTTCTTAGCAGGTACTAACCCCACCCACCCGCCCTCTCTTTTTTTACAGGATATCTCATCTGCCAAAATTAGTCATATCTTAAAAGGTACTACTAGCCCCGCCCACCCACCCTCTCTTTTCATACAGAGTATTTCATTTGCCAAAATCAGTTTTATCTTATTATATCGATTAATGACTACTAGCCGGAGGTATTCACACATTAGGTGCGTGCAATGTTGCCAATTTTATTTTTATAAAATTACGTTTTTTCCATAATTTACCTCCGGCTTACTTTCTGATTTCTTAGTAACGATGCTGCCTGAAATTCACTTTTTATTTTTTTAGGACAATCACCATAACAACCAGTAGTCCTTAATCGTTGTGCATTATCATTAATAAAACAAGCTGTTATTTTTTATTAATATGTAAATAAAAAAAAACATTTAATAAGACATTTATAAATTATAAACTAAAACAAAACCATCAAAAGAATAATCCAGTAAAGCATAACCAACTAAACACTAGAGAAGATGTTCAAAATTGCTGCCTTATGCGTATAAGAAAGTTCGTAATGTTTTCCAATTTTTTTTCTCAGATAAAGCTGATTTTGGCAAATGAAATATCGTCTAAGAAAAGGGAGGGTGAGTGGATGGGGCTAGTAGCTGCTAAGATAAGACAGATTTTGGCAAATGAGATACCCTTTAAGAAAAGAGGGGGCGGGTGGGCGGGGCCAGTACCTGCTAAAACCAGACCGATTTTGGCAAATGACATATTTAAAAGAATTTTGGGGCAGTTTGTTGTTTTATTTTTGGAAAATTTTGACCTGACTTGTTTTTGAGAGAATTTTGGAACCTCGTTTTTTTTTGGGTTCTAGATATTTTTGTTTGGAGACAATTTGAAAGTGCTTTGGAGTCTCTAGTGTCTCTTTTTATAAAAAATTTAAATAAATTTCTT